TTTTAATATTTGGCTTCCAGTGGAGAGGTTTCTGAATCCACCTTGGAAACTAGCTGTTGTCCAATCAGAAGAGCCTTTTCCTTCCTAATTAGTTTCCTGGGAATTTCTCTTCAGACACTTCAAGGGTTTCTGTAAGGCAAGTACCTGGATTCTCTGTGATCATGGGAGTCCTGTAGTGGAAGAATCAGAGTTAACTAAAAAGGAGTAGCATAGGTGGTGAGTGAAATATGACACTTCATTTTAGGAGATGTTAAGAATCTCATTCCCTTGGTCTTTCTTAACCTTTTTGGGGGGGAAACAAAATTTTGTGATTATTTATACTTGTGATTTACTCTTGTGTAGAAATGTGTTTTTTGTTGTTGTTGTTTTCTTGCTGCTGAGAGCAATTATCTTTCATTAAGAGCAAATAGGCAAAAATAAAAGTAGATTTTAATAGGGGAAAGAGATGTTTAATTAGCACTTTCTCTTTTTGGTGAAAAAACAATAACAAAAAACAGCCCAACAACTCATATTCAAGGAGAAAAATATTTTAAACCCTGAAGTCACTAATCTTAACTGGTTATTGAGAACAAAGATTCTTAGAAGCTAAGGGGATTTTATAATCATATGAAGTTGGTAGAATTTTTGCATATATTTTTCTGTTGGTGAGAGTAACGATTTCTCTTTAAAAGTAAATGGTTGAACATAAATACTTTCTACTTAGAATGAGTGCTGTGTTTTAGACTAAACATTGTATAGGCATCATCATGTTCAGTTCTTAAAACAAATCAGAGAGAGTGGTATTCCCATTTCACAGACTAGAACACTGAGGCTTAGTGCGTTAAAATAGCCTATCATAGTCAGGAAATGAAGAGCAGAACTGAAATTCAAACTCAGATTTATTCCCTCTAAGATTTATTATCTTAATTATTCCTTAATCTTTTAGGAAGCTTATCTAACCTTCCTGTGTTTCCTAGAGTGGTCAAGAGAAGAATTGACCAATGGTTTAAAATGTTAAGCTCGTTAATAATAAACATGTGAAAGGTGTTTAGTTAAGTTTTTGAAAGGAACTGAGGTTTCTCAATTGAGATGTTTCTGTAATTTATAACTGAGCAATCAAGCAAATATTACATCAGTGATGGCAAACCTATGACACGCGTGTCAGAGGTGACATGCGAACTCATTTTTTTGGTTGATTTTTCTTTGTTAAATGGCATTTAAATATATAAAATAAATATCAAAAATATAAGTCTTTGTTTTACTATGGTTGCAAATATCAAAAAATTTCTATATGTGACACAGCACCAGAGTTAAGTTAGGGTTTTTCAAAATGCTGACACGCCGAGCTCAAAAGGTTCGCCATCACTGTATTACATAAAGACAACTTTGTAATTGATCAATAAGGGTGACTTGGTAACAGATTTCTTCTTTAGGGAAAAGAAGGTGATATTTCTGTTAAGTTGGAGATGTTGTGTCTCGGTAACAAAAGAAAGATGTGCACAATGATAGGTACCTTACTAAAGGTTTTTTCTTCCCCACTTCCTGGCTCAGTCTCTGAATTATAGCAGTTCTGTCCCAGCCTCCTGTCTCCTAGGTCCATAAGGACAAGGACTGTTGCCTCCCATTGTATCTTCAGTCTCTAGCTCAGTACTGGCACGTGGGAGGTCCTCATGTATTTGAATGAATTGGTAAGAATGTGTTTGTGAATTCTCTGGAGGCTCTTTGGTCATCAGCTTCAATAGATGTGAAATCCCTGGAATATCAAACTGTCGTCTTATTGGGATTTAAGTAGGACTTTGAGCTGAAAGAGGCTCTTCAGTGATGGGGTTGAGTTAGGTGGAGAGAGATGACATGTGTAGGGTATAAGCATACATTTACAAAGGGAGAATGAAGGGGAAAAGACTTGTCTACTCTATTTTTCCCGATCAGAACCTGGGTTGTGCAGCTTGGATTTAGTCTGTTAGATGGCTCCAATTTTAACTATACACTTTTGGGTAATTCGACTTGGAAAAATTATTTAGCTTCTCTGAGCCTGTATGTACTCATCTTGTAAAATAGGTACATTAGGAACTATACCAGTGATGGCGAACCTATGACACGCGTGTCAGAGGTGACACGCGAACTCATTTTTTTGGTTGATTTTTCTTTGTTAAATGGCATTTAAATATATAAAATAAATATCAAAAATATAAGTCTTTGTTTTACTATGGTTGCAAATATCAAAAAATTTCTATATGTGACACAGCACCAGAGTTAAGTTAGGGTTTTTCAAAATGCTGACACGCCGAGCTCAAAAGGTTCGCCAACACTGAACTATACTGTAGGATTGGAGTGAGGAAAGTTGCTGGAATAGAGTAATGGCCCATGGGTGCTCAGTGTTCTTCCCTTTTCCATATACAATACACCCTGCCTCATTCTGGGATCGAAGTCAGAATGTATGTTCTAAACTACGTGCACATACTTTAGAAAATTCACTTAAAAAATAAGTAAGGCCTTTATGTCATGCGCGGGCACGAGCACGCGCACATGCGCGCGCGCGCGTGTGTGTGTGTGTGTGTGTGTGTGTGGTGTATGAAATAGAGATAGATTAAGGTGGTTTGGGAGGGAAGAGAAGGTGAAAGAGACTTGGAGTAAAGTAAGGTTTGGGATATGATTGACAGGCTTTATGTTACCATGACAGCAGTTCAGGTAAACAGCTTTTTTTGTGTGTGAACAACTGGTTTCATGTGGGTCAATCCTGCATGAACATTAAGGATATGTTATATTAATATACTTTAATTTAGAGATAAGTTGAAAGAGTACTTTTATATTGGATCTTATTGTCACAGTTTTGGTAATTAGACCTAGGAACATAGTTTGATTGTAGGACTTAGACTTATTTAAGGTATTTCTTACATTACATTATATACCTTCTTCAAGACCTTTTTGATGTCCTACAGAATTCAGTATTACACTCTTCTACTTGCTGTTCAGGCCCCTGCACCATTTCTTCTGCTAATGTTTCTTCTCAATGTTCCTCTACTTGAATTATGTCCTTTCAAAGCGCTATATTCTGGGCTACCTTCTTAGCTCCTCAAATGTCCTTTGCCCAAGTTCTGCACATACTTCAGGGTTTCTATCATGCTTTCTTTAAGGGAATCTCCCTATGTTGTAGCCAAAAAGTGACCTTGCTCCTCTGAACACCTGAAGAACTCCTGAAGGACTTACCTGAACTCCTGAAGCTTTTGATGGGAGCAATGCCATAAATGAGATCAGACATTTAAAAAAAAATGTTGAAAAGATGCAAAACCACTTCCTTTTACCTTAGAACTAGAAACCTACCTTATCTTTAAGGACAAATTAATTCATAGCTACCAAAGATTAATTTCTATGGGACATATTCAGGATTAATTAGACACTGAATCTTGAGTAGATAAATTGATTATTATATGGAGACCTTTATTTTGATGCTTTTTCACCCTCTAACTTTTTCCTTTTTTTCCCCTTAAGCTGGTCTTTTTTGGGCTAAGTAACCAGATGGTGGTAGCTTTCAAGGAAGATAACACTATAGCATTCAAACACCTCTTCCTAAAAGGATATGTGGACCAAGCGGATGACACCTATGCAGTTTACACACAGAGTGATGTATACAGTCAGATCATCTTCGCAGTGAACCAGGTAAATCAAGCGTGGCTTTTTTTTTTTTTTAATGATAGATACTTTAATGGAATTGGCTTGATTTTCCCCTGTCAGGGGTGCATGTGCATTCTTTACTTGGGAGAAAGAACAGACTGAAAAAACAGCAATGTACGTGATAGAGACTGACATTCAGAATTCTTTACTTGGGAGAAAGAACAGACTGAAAAAACAGTTAGCAATGTACGTAATAGAGACTGACATTCAGCTGGAGAAGGGTGAACATTTCTGTAATGTATAAATGGCATGTATAAAATAATTTTTAAAATGTTTTTAAAATATTGCCAACAAACTTTTACAAAACTATAAATTGAGAAGAGTTTTTGGTCAGTAACACAGAGACAGCAACTTGAAAGACTTAATTAAAAGAATCAAACTAGAGCTTGTATGAGAGCCTCAAAGGTTTAAAATTATTAACCACGACGCTGGTAGTAAGTAGTCATTAAGTCCTCAGAGTTTATAGTTTCAGAGGCCCTTAATACTTAATGAGAATATTCACTTTGCAAAGTATATGTAGCAACCAAGACCTGAAAGTTCACTTAAAAAATAAGTAAGGCCTTTATGTCATGCATGACAATGATCTTATTGTGACTCGGATTAACTGCCAAAAAAGAGAGCTTGTTTTTCATCCAGATGAGTCAAATTCCTATTCTGCGTTTGTAATCAATTTGTTTTTGCTATAAATAGTACTTTCTCAAAATCCTAAATCTCTTATTTGGTAGGTATCATTGAAAGTGTTCTTTTTTTTAAAAAAAAAAAATCCTCATCTGAGGATATTTTTCCATTGATTTTTAGAAAGAGGGAAAGTGGGGATATTTTTCCATTGATTTTTAGAGAGAGGGAAAGGCGAAGAGAAATATCAGTGTGAGAGAAACACATGGATTGGTTGCCTCCTGTATGAGCCCCCACCAGGATCCGGTCAGGTACTTGTCCTTGACCAGATTCGAACCCGGGACCCTTCGGTCTGCAGGCTGATGCTCTACCCACTGAGCAAAACGGGCTAGGGCTGGAGTGTTCTTGAAGACAGTATTTTCAAGCTGGCTTAGTTTCAAAATTATTACAACTCTCCTCCAAACAATTGTTATAATGAAACCATGTCTCTTCATTATCTAGAGATAATCTCTGCACATTGAAATGATAAATTGCTAAGATGGGATATGTAATTATGACACCAAAGCTTTCTGTTAGCATTCTGATTGCAAAAATTGCCCCCAAATCTACAGTAATAGAAGTAAGCTGTATACATTGTTAAACAGAATTATGTCCTACAATTTGTAAGGAAAAAATATATAATGCTGGAAATATTCAGTTTTGAGATTTTTGTTTTAAGCTTATTAAGTTTCTTTAAAGCTGTTTTGAACCAAATTGGTAGTTTCTTTGTTTTGTGTGTTTTTTTGGGCAGGGGGATAGAGGCCAGAAGTAAATAATTCATTAAAATTCCTCCTAAAATGTATTTACCTTAACTAGTAGACTTAAACTTAGTTTTGAAAATATAGTACTACTTGGCCTGGGGCCAGCATGGCTCAGTGGTTGAACATTGACCTATGAACCAGGAGGTCATAGTTCAATTCCCAGTCAGGGCACATGCCTGGATTGTGGGCTCTATCCTCAGTATGGGGCGTGTAGGACACAGCCGATCAATGATTCCCTCTCATGATTGATGTTTCTATCTCTCCCTCTTCCTCCCTCTCTTAAACCAATAAAAATACATTTATAAAAATACAGTACTATTTGGCATTCAGGCCATTCTATTTATCAGATTTCTACATTCTTTATAGAACTGCATGTAGACTCCTTACTCTAATATGTAAGTAGAAAATAATATTTGGGGTGGTTTACCTTAGGCAAATGATTGCTTTCCATCTTCCAAGCAACTATCAGGCATTTTTACTAGTAGCTGACGATAAAAATATCTTGATCATAATTTTCATGAATAACTAGAGTTTTTGTGGTTAATGAGGTCAGTCGTTCTACATGGCTCCAGATAACTGAAAAAAGACAGTATGGACTGGTGTTAAAGAAGGAGCTTTGTTTGTTGTAAGGAGATATCCTGATAGTTGAGATGATAGTCCCTGAGGGGAACTGACAGATGGGACAGTGGCTTCTCGGCTCTTAAAGGTATTTCCATGACTAATTACTTATCCAGAAGGGATTAGCCCCCAGATGTCCTCTAAGTATACCATCTCTAGGCTCATTCTGATCTAATGCTGGTTATAACATCACCTTTGTTTATTATATATGCTCATATATTTGAATGTCAGAACACTAGTTATTTTGTTTTAAATGATACCTTGGCTTTCCTCAACCAATTGTGGGTCATCTTTACTGGGTTCCTTTCTTTCATCTGCCCCTTACATTTGGGCGGTCCCCAATGTAATGAGTGACGTCCACAATGTCCTTTCCTCAACAGCCCTGCTCAGCTCCTGTAGACTCAAGCCTATGGCTTTTTTTACGGAGTTAGTCCATCTCCTATTTGTTCTTCCTCTCTTCCTGCTGCCTCTGTTTTCCTAGCATTGTTGTCTTTTCCAAAGAACCTTGCCTTCTCTTGATGTGCCTGAAATAGATTACCACCCTCAATATTTTACCTACTTTTTAATTGAAAGGACTTTTTAATCTCTTATGCCCTCCCTGCTCTCCTATCCCCCTTATAAAACTACCATTTGGCTCAGAGTGGCTTTAGAAAGACTTAATGAATACACTATTTCCTTGAATAGAAAACAAAAATCTCAAAATGGAATATCTCCAGCATTACACTATTTCCCCCATATGTAAGACATATGCTATTTAATAATTTATGCCACTTCCATTATCATAGACTTTTGGCTCATTTTCCCAATCTCAATACCCTAATCACACATATTATCTAACTAGAGGCCCGGTGCACGACATTTGTGCACTGGTGGTGGTGGTGGGTCCCTCAGCCCGGACTACACCCTTTAGCAGTCCAGGAGCCCTTGGGGGATGTCCGACTGATGTCCCTAGTGCTGCTGCAGAGGCAGGAGAGGCTTCCCCCAACCTCTGCTGCGCTCGCCAGCTGTCAGCCCAGCTTGTGGCTGAGCGGCACTCCCCCTGTGGGAGCACACTGACCACCAGGGGGCAGCTCCTGTATTGAGTGTCTGCCCCCTAGTGGTCAGTGCGTGTCATAGCGACCGGTCGTTCCACCATTCAGTCGATTTGCATATTACCCTTTTATTATATAGGATGGTTTACTGTGCATAGATTAGCTCTAGGAAATGAAGAGCCACTGCAGCATTATAGTAATATTTTACCTCACTATTTGTTTGACACCTATTCCAGGCCTAATACTGTTCTAAGTACTGGGGTTAGAGCGGAGGACTTGATAGATTCCTAGCCCTGTGGAATTTACATTCTAATGGAAAAGATGGCTTTTAAACAAGTTTAACCTAAATTATTTGATTTTATTTAGTGATGAGTGCTGTGAAGTAAAATAAAGTAGCAAAAGGCATTAATAGTACAGGGCGGTCAGAAAAGGCCTCTCTGAGGACTTACAGTGTGAGGAAGAATATTTCAGGCTGAACGGGTAGCAACAGCCAAGGCCCTGCTGGCCAGAAAGCACTGAGTACGTTTCAGGAAAACGCAAAGGAGGCAAGTGTGACTGGGCCAGGAAAGGAGCTATGAAGTTTACTCTGAGAGAGCCAGGAAGCCATGGAAGGAGGGAGAGACTCTAACAAACACTAGCAAAGGCTAAGATTTACTCCCTCAAAATTCTAGCATCTGTTATGTATCAGATATTGTTTTTGCTACATAAATACAGTAGTGAACACACAGACAAAGTCAAGGAGGTCATATTCTAATAGGAAGAGAACAGTAATCTACACCAATTAAAGAGAAATATGTAAATTAACCATCACTTCAGAATGCCCACCAGCCAATCAGGAGTGAGTATGCAAATAAGTGGGACAAAGATGGCAGTGGCCACGGAGCCAGCCGGAGCAGGTGAGAGGCTTGGGCCACCCTCAGCGACGGAGGAAGCCAAGCTTCCCGCCCGCCCTGGCTGGCCTCTGAAGGAGGGATCTGTGGGCGGCAGCCACGGAGCTGGCCCGAGTGTGTGGGAGCCTTGGGTTGCCAGGGGCGACCCAAACTTCCTGCCCGCCCTGGCCGGCTGCTGAAGGAGGGGCCTGCAAATGGCCCTCAGCCCCTCACCCAGGCTGGCCACGCCCCCCCCCAGCGGGGACCCTCACCCCATGGTGGTGTGGCTGGCCTGCAAACTTCCCCAGCCCCTCGCCCAGGACACCCTGCAATCTGAGGGGTCCCAGATTGGAGAGGGTGCCGGCTGGGCTGAGGGACACCCCCCCCATGCACGAAATTGTGCACCAGGCCTCTCTAATACTATAGAATAAAAGGCTAATATGCAAATCGATCAAATGGCAGAATGACTGGTCTCTATGATGTGCAATGACCACCAGGGGGCAGACGCTCAATGCAGGAGCTTTCCTC